CACACACACACACATATATATATATATATATATATATATATATATATATATATATATATATATATATATATATATATATATATATATATATATATATATATATATATATATACACCACCTGGGTGCAGTAATAAGGGTCAGAAAACATTATATTAAGGTATAGTTCTTACCTCAAGGGAAATAAGCAAGGGTGTGGAGTGTTCCTACGTGTCTGGAGCTGATAGTTGTGGTAGATGGTGGTAGATGGTGGTAGTTGTGGTAGTTGTGGTAGATGGTGGTAGTTGTGGGTAGGTGTGGTAGATGGTGGTAGATGGTGGTAGATGGTGGTAGTTGTGGTAGTTGTGGTAGATGGTGGTAGTTGTGGTAGATGGTGGTAGTTGTGGTAGATGGTGGTAGTTGTGGTAGATGGTGGCAGATGGTGATGTGGTATCCTCTCTACAAAAGGATATTCGGTCTGTCTCTCTCTTACCTCACTCTTGTTCTTTCTCTCTCTCTCTGTCTGTGTCTCTTATCAAGGTTCGGTTAAGTGGCCTCTTACCTCTGCCTGATGGTGGTGTTGTCAGAGAAATATGATACCGAGTGTCATTATCCTGTGTTTGTTGTGATGATGGTGAGGGAAGGGATGGAGGGGAGGGGGAGGAGGGAGGGAGGGAGGGAGGGAGGGAAGGATGGGAAGGAAAGATGGAGAGAGGCACTTAAAAATACATATATTTTTACGCTTGAACAACCTCCATTAATTCAGCCAATAAAAGCTTACTATAACCTAACCTAACTTAACCTTACCTAATCTAACCTAACCTAATTTTACCGTAATCAAGAAAATAGAACCAAACTTACACATTCAGCCGCGTTAAAAAGAGACTTATCTGGCAACTACAAAGTGACAGTCGCCAATTAGGTGGTGAGGCGTTGGTGAGATCCCCAGGTGCAAAGTACACCACTCACGAGAAGGGGAAACCCTGCCACACTATTATACACTGAGGAAAATCCTACCAGAGACAATCCTAGGAAACAATATCTTTAGGGGGGAAATCCTACGAGAATCTATCACTAGCAAGTCTACGGACTTGGCGCACCCACATTCAACTACAGCACATCAGAGCCGGGCACCGTGTGTGTCCCGTCCCGACAACAATTGTCGAGTCGTAAATGACTGAATCCTCGCAAATAATTGGAGGCTCCCTCTCTCTTGCCTGCTGTCCGCAGACACGAATGGCCGTCGGCCGCTCATGGCGGCTGCTGCTGCACATGTTCTAAGAGGCGCACGTCCTCCTCCTCTCAGGGAAGAATCACTCCATCCCATCCCACCATATCCTTATCGAAGAAATCCTATACGTGAGGCGAAACAGACACAGACAGATAGACAAAAAGATAGACAAACAGAAATACATATATAGTGAAACAGTGAACCAAACGAACAAAAGTCATGGTGTGTGTGTGTGTGTGTGTCAGTTTACATAAGGAATAATTGTGTTTGCACTAAGCTAAGTCAGATTAAATTAAATTCACCACCAACACACACAGTCAAGCCTGGGAGAACCTTTAGTAGCGCCAACACACACACACACACACCGTCCTCACTATAACATAAGTATATATATATTACGTTTCCACAATCATATATACACGGTAAACTACAGACCAACATAAGTACTGTATAACGTAATACACAAGATACACAAAATTATGCTGTACACACGTATAATATTAACCTCACAATGGCGGTATGATGTAACATTACCAACATACAGTATACTGTAGACGTGGTTTAACCCTTGAGGACGATGGTTTAACCCTTTGAGGACGATGGTTTAACCCTTGAGGACGATGGTTTAACCCTTGAGGACGATGGTTTAACCCTTTGAGGACGATGGTTTAACCCTTGAGGACGATGGTTTAACCCTTGAGGACGATGGTTTACCCCTTGAGGACGATGGTTTAACCCTTTGAGGACGATGGTTTAACCCTTGAGGACGATGGTTTAACTTTGGAGATGATGGTTTAACCTTGAGGACGATGGTTTAACCCTTGAGGACGATGCTGGTTTAACCTTGGAGGACGATGGTTTAACCTCATAGAGATGAGGAAGCTTTTAACCTTGAGGACGATGGTTTAACCCTTGAGGACGATGGTTTAACCTTGAGGACGATGGTTTAACCCTTTGAGGACGATGGTTTAAATTGAGGACGATGGTTTAACCCTTGAGGACGATGGTTTAACCTTGAGGACGATGGTTTAACTTTTGAGGACGATGGTTTAACCCTTTGAGGACGATGGTTTAACCTCTTTGGAGGACGTGATGGTTTAACCTTGCGGATGGTCGGTTTAACCTTGAGGACGATGGTTTAACCTTTGAGGACGATGGTTTAACCTTGAGGACGATGGTTTAAATTCCTTTGAGGATTACGTTTAACCTTGAGGACGATGGTTTCCAACTTTGAGGACGATATGGTTTAACCTTGAGGACGATGGTTTAACCCTTGAGGACGATGGTTTACCCTTGAGGACGATGGTTTAACCCTTTGACGATGGTTTAACCTCGAGGACGATGGTTTAACCTCGAGGACGGCTTTGTTTAACCTCTTTGAGGACGATGGTTTAACCCTTGAGGACGATGGTTTAACTCCCTTGAGTATTACAGTTTGTCCTCGAGGATTTGATGGTTTAACCCTTGAGGACGATGGTTTAACCTTTTGAGGACGATGGTTAAATCTCTTGAGGACGATTTTTCTTTTGTTTAACCTTTGAGGACGATGGTTTAACCCTTGAGGACGATGGTTTAACCCTTTGAGGACGATGGTTTAACCCTTGAGGACGATGGTTTACCCCTTGAGGACGATGGTAATAGTAGTGGTATAACTCATTCCCCAACAAGCCATCACTGAATGACCTCTGCTTAATACTTAGTTAGGAATGATATGTTATGTAGAGTTATTTAGTGCTTGTTTTTAGAGTTATTTAGTGTTTGTTTTTAGAGCTAATTAGTGCTTGTTATATAGTTATTTACGGTTTGTCTTCCTCCTATTCCTCACTAACCTTCATTTCCTCCTCCCCTTCCTCCATTCTTCCCCCTCTTCCTACTTCCCCCTCCTCCCTTCTTCCTCTACCTCCTCCTCTCACTTCCTGGGAACAAAACAATAATTCATGAAAATAAAATTCGCTCATAAATCAAACCAAAAAGTTGAAGGTTACTGTTTCTCCAACTGCTGAGAGAGAGAGAGAGAGAGAGAGAGAGAGAGAGGAAAGTAAAAAGAAAAAAATAAGCTAGTTTAAAACCACAGAAAAACACGAATAAAAAACAAACACGAATAATGATAAAAACGAAAAAAAAAGGCATGAAAATGTTATAACCATCCCCGGATCTACTAGCTGGTTACCATGGCAACATCTGGTGGTGTGTGGGGGGGAGGGGGGTTAAGATACACCGAGTCAACAGGGTGATGCTGATGAGGGAGAGTAGGGAGTAAGGGTGATGGACGGGAGTAGGAGCAGAGAGGAAGGGTAAAGGAAGTAAGATAGGGAGAGGAGGAGGAGGAAGAGAGAAAAGTAAAAATGAAAGCAAGCAATAATGGAGAAAGGGAAGAGGGGAATTTGAATAACGGGAGGAGGAAATAATGAGTGAATGAGAGAGAGAGAGAGAGAGAGAGAGAGAGAGAGAGAGAGAGAGAGAGAGAGAGCTTTCATCAGTCAAAATATTATCTATCTGTCTGTCTGTCTAACTATCTGTCTGTCTATACTTTTTCTCTCCCTGTCTGTCCATTTATCTCTCACCTTCTTCTTCCTCAAGTTATCAGTGTGTGCCTATCTCCTTTCATCTCTTCCTCGTGTGTGTGTGTACAGCGTCACACCACACAGCCGCTATCAGTCGTCTACCACAACTCATTAGTAAGTTTACAAATACTCGATAATTCTGTCGTTTATTTTGGTTAATTACTCTTAATAAATCTTGTTAATTGCTTAATAAATTCTCACTCGTCTTAAGGTCGAATCTCGCATCATAATTCCGCTTTAACTATAACTAGAAGTATATAAGTTAGTTCACCTGTTGCTGTTGTATAATAAATCAATTTATTCTATACCTGTTGTATAATATATCAACTTAATCTATAACTGTTGTACTATAATTATAACAACTAAATTTATAAGTATTTTATGCCAAATTAGTGTATAATATTGTGAGTCTCTTAATACAACATACTGTATAAGAGAAATACAAATTAGTTGAATCTCTTAATATTATATTGTAGTTAATTTTAATATATGTAATTGAACTCTGTTGCAATCATTCATTATAAAAAAAAAAATATTCAAAAAGTTTATTATTTGCAATTACATTTACTGTCATTTCCTCTTAACATTTCAATATAATATGTTCAGTTACCCAGCCATCTATTCCTGGAAGGTTGTAACAAAAGAATAGAATTAAAAATTGCAATTGCTTTTATATATTGCAATGGTTGGCATAGTAATGAGATTTTATGGTAATTTATTAATAACTCGTTAAATGTGATAAAGGAATGTTTTGATATTTATAGTTACTGATACAGACATACAGGTAGACATAGACATACAGGTAGACATAGACATACACGCAGCCACAGATACACACACGAGTATTCACAGGCAGACAGACACACATATTTTGTTGATATTTCCGGCTTATTGTGTTGACAGTCATCTGTTTCTTCATGTTGGGACGTGTTTGGTGCTGCCATGTCCTCAAATACCAATAACTCCTTCCTTTCCTCTCTCACTCAATCACTCTTTCCCTCCCTCCCTCCCTCCCTCCATCCCTCTGTCTCTCTCTTTCCCTCCCTCCCTCCCTCCCCCTCTCTTTCCCTCCCTCCCTCTTTCCCTCCCTCCCTCTCTTTCCTCCCTCTCTCCCTCCCTCTCTCTCCCTCTCTCCCTCCCTCTCTCTCTTTCCTTCCCTCCTATCCTCCCCTACCTAATGTGGCACTCTGGTGGCAGGGACAGGGGCTGCTGCGGCACTCTGGTGGCTGCTAATGTGGCACTCTGGTGGCAGGGATGCTGGTAATGTGGCACTCTGGTGGCGGGCGGCGGGTGGCACTCTGGTGGCAGGCGGGCGGCGGCTGCTGGTAATGTGGCACTCTGGTGGCAGGGACGGGCGGCAGCTGCTGGTAATGTGGCACTCTGGTGGCAGGGACGGGCGGCTGCTGGTAATGTGGCACTCTGGTGGCGGGACGGGCGGCGGCTGCTGGTGTGGCACTCTGGTGGCAGGGACGGGCGGCGCTGCTGGTAATGTGGCACTCTGGTGGCAGGGACGGGCGGCTGCTGGTAATGTGGCACTCTGGTGGCAGGTTGGGTGGCACTCTGGTGGCAGGCGGCGGCGGCTGCTGGTAATGTGGCACTCTGGTGGCAGGGACGGGCGGCGGCTGCTGGTAATGTGGCACTCTGGTGGCAGGGACGGGCGGCTGCTGGTAATGTGGCACTCTGGTGGCGGGACGGGCGCTGCTGGTAATGTGGCACTCTGGTGGCAGGGACGGCGGCGGCTGCTGGTAATGTGGCACTCTGGTGGCAGGGACGGGCGGCGGCTGGTAATGTGGCACTCTGGTGTACGGTGCAGGCGGGCTGGCTGGCACTCTGGTGGCAGGGACGGGCGGCGGCTGCTGGTAATGTGGCACTCTGGTGGCAGGCGGGCGGCTGCTGGTAATTCTGGTGGCAGGGACGGGCGGCTGCTGGTAATGTGGCACTCTGGTGGCAGGGACGGGCGGCTGCTGGTAATGTGGCACTCTGGTGGCAGGGCTGCTGGTGGCAGCGGCTGCTGGTGGGCACTCTGGTGGCAGGGACGGGACTGCTGCTGTCACTCTGGTGGCAGGACGGGCGGCGGCTGCTGGTAATGTGGCACTCTGGTGGCACGGGCGGCTGCTGGTGGCGGTGGCAGGGACGGGCTGCTGGTAATGTGGCACTCTGGTGGCAGGGACGGGCGGCGGCTGCTGGTAATGTGGCACTCTGGTGGCAGGGACGGCAGGGACGGGCGGCGCTGCTGGTACACTCTGGTGGCTCTGGGTGGCAGGATGCTGGTAATGTGGCAGGGACGGGCGGCTGCTGGTAATGTGGCACTCTGGTGGCAGGGACGGGCGGCGGCTGCTGGCAATGCTGGCACTCTGGTGGCATGCTGGCACTCTGGTGGCAGGCTGCTGGTAATGTGGCACTGCTGGTAATGTGGCACTCTGGTGGCAGGACGGGCGGGCTGCTGGTAATGTGGCACTCTGGTGGCAGTGCTGGTAATGTGGCACTCTGGTGGCAGGGACGGGCGGCGCTGCTGGTAATGTGGCACTCTGGTGGCAGGGACGGGCGGCGGCTGCTGGTAATGTGGCACTCTGGTGGCAGGGACGGGCGGCGGCTGCTGGTAATGTGGCACTCTGGTGGCAGGGACGGGCGGCGGCTGCTGGTAATGTGGCACTCTGGTGGCAGGGATGCTGGCGGCACTGCTGGTAATGTGGCACTCTGGTGGCAGGGACGGCGGCATGTGGCACAGGATGCTGGTGTCAATATTTAGGCAGCGTCTCGCCAGACAATTTGTGTCCATAACGTCTTCTGCTGCTGCCTCACCTGTGGTGTAGGAGGTGAGGGAGAGTGAGGGAGGGTGAGGGAGGTGAGGGAGGTGGGTGTGTCTCTTACAGACAGACGGGAAAAGTAAACCCTTTAAGGTCATGTTACTGATGAGCTTCGGGCCCCATAGTGCACGACCATCCACCTCAGTCACCCGCACCTCCTACCAGTGTACTGTACATCACCCACCTCCCTACCAGTGTACATCACCCGCACCTCCCTACCAGTGTACTGTACATCACCCTCACCTCCCTACCAGTGTACTGTACATCACCCACCTCCTACCCGTGTACTGTACATCCCCACCTCCCTACCAGTGTACTGTACATCACCCACCTCCCTACCAGTGTACTGTACATGACCCACACCTCCCCTACCAGTGTACTGTACATGACCACCTCCCTACCAGTGTGCTGTACATGACCCACCTCCCCTACCCGTGTACTGTACATGACCCACACCCCCACCGTGTACTGTACATCACCCGCACCTCCCTACCCGTGTACTGTACATCACCCGCACCTCCCTACCAGTGTGCTGTACATCACCCGCACCTCCCTACCAGTGTACTGTACATCACCCGCACCTCCCTACCAGTGTACTGTACATCACCCGCACCTCCCTACCAGTGTACTGTACATCAACCGGCTTCGTTTGACTTGAGAGAATTAGCTCGTCTCTTGGAGGTAATACTAACTATTTCCATTCTTTTATAAGCTAATTTATATAATTATAACAACCTCTCTACTCTTCCTCACCTCCTGTTAAGCCATCACATATGTTCACTCTAGTGACGTCATTCATTATATAATTTCTTTAACGTTGGAAAGTTTTCATTAAGTATTTTGGACCCAGGTTAGTTTCGCTATCCCTACTGTACCTTATAAGTTATATCATATGTAGCTATATAACAACCGTCTCCTGGTGTCACTCTTATACACCAAACCTTCACCAAAAACTTGAGAAAAATAGACAACATATTCTTGGCGCTACATCATATTCAGCTAAATCATTTATCACCCCAGACTAAGGGGAGCGTCTCACTCACCCCAGACTACGGGGAGCTTCTCACTCACCCCAGACTACGGGGACTCACCCCAGACTACGGGGAGCTTCTCTCACTCACCCCAGACTACGGGGAGCTTCTCTCACTCACCCCAGACTACGGGGAGCTTCTCTCACTCACCCCAGACTACGGGGAGCTTCTCTCACTCACCCCAGACTACGGGGAGCTTCTCTCACTCACCCCAGACTGAGGGGAGCTTCTCTCACTCATCCCAGACTGAGGGGAGCTTCTCTCACTCACCCTAGTATATGGGGAGCTTATTTATATGTCTCTTCTTCTGTCCACACACACACATACACACACACACACACACACACACACACATTCTTGACTTATTCCCATTTAATGCCGTGAAAAAAATTATCTAACCTAGAGATCAGTCGATTATCCCCTTCAGTCTGTCTGTTAAAGCTTTGATCAGCGATAACTATCAGTCTGGAGCCCTTGGTTAAGTTAAGTAATCGTATTGAAGTGGTTAAATCATCGTAATTAAAGGGTTACTTAAGTTAATTAATCATTCTCAATCGTGATCAGGGGATTAAGTGTGTGTGTGTGTGTGTGTGTGTGTGTGTGTGTGTGTGTGTGTGAACATGTATTAAACAAGTGAACTTAATTGGAAAGGAAGACATGGGGAAAGAAGAGAAGAGGAAAGCAAGAGGCCGGATGAAACAGGGGAAATAAAGTGGGGGCGACAAGAACTGGTACGAAGGAAGGAGATGAAGAGGGACATGAATAATTCAACATCTGACTGTTAACTTGGGGACGTAGACCCAGGCCGTGAAGAGAGAGAGAGAGAGAGAGAGAGAGAGAGAGAGACACACACAAAGAAAAGACTAACTGAAAATGATAAGTAAATTAAGACACGAGATAGGCAAGATAAGTAAGATAAGTGAGGTAGGTAAGATAAGTGAGGTAGGTAAGATAAGTGAGATAGGTAAGATAAGTGAGGTAAGAGAGGTAGGTGAGGTAGGTGAGGTAAGAGAGGTAGGTGAGGTAAGTGAGGTAAGAGAGGTAGGTGAGGTAGGTGAGGCAAGTGAGGTAGGTGAGGTAGGTGAGGTAAGAGAGGTAGGTGAGGTCGGTGAGGTAAGAGAGGTAGGTGAGGTCGGTGAGGTAAGAGAGGTCGGTGAGGTAAGAGAGGTAGGTGAGGTAAGAGAGGTAGGTGAGGTAAGTGAGGTAAGTGAGGTAGGTGAATCATCTCTCAGTTGAGGAAGCAGAAAAAAAATAGATAAAAAGCGCGGGAACTGAGAATGTAAACAAGAATAGCGAGTCTAGCAGAGCTAACATGAAGAAACATGTTTTATCAGTTGTTGGCTCCCATGAGACTCCCATGGATTTCCCTGAGGCTCCCGAAAGGCTCCCATGAAGCTCTACCTCTCTCGAGATACATAAATATTCCTCTGTCAATTTTTGTTTCCCAGCTGGTGTCAAGTGAACGTATCCAGTGAAGGAAAAGTATGTGCTTGTGCTCATCTGATCCTGTCGTGGTGCTCTCTCTCTCTCTCACGTCACCATTTAAGAGGAACACAATGAAAAACCTTTGAGAATCTTTCTTGGTGTTGTAACTTATGGTGGCTGATAAGATACGTCCTCACATCACCAGTCATGGAATTAAAAAAAAAATGATTCTTTGAGTTTTTAGACCCAGTTAGGTTAGGTTAGGTTAGGAGAGTGAAGTCGTGACCGCTGAGGTGATTGCACGGGGAGTTCTGCAGTCACCAATTTTCCCTTTGTGGTCCAGAAAGCTTTGTGGTCATTGGTCCAATATTATGATGACGCTTACCACGAGCAAATTGTCCTTGGTGGTGATGATGATGATGGTGGAGGTGTTGTTGGGGGGGTGGTGATAATGCTGGTGGGTGTTGTTGGGGTTGTGATAATGGTGGTGATGGTGGTGTTAGGGGTTGTGATGATAATGGTGGTGGTAGTGTTGTTAGGGGTTGTGATAATGGTGGTGGTGGTGATGTTGGGGTGGTGATGATAATGGTGGTGGTGTTAGGGGTTGTGATAATGGTGGTGATGGTGTTGAGGTGGTGATGGTGTTGAGGTGGTGATGGTGATAATAATGATGCAAGCTTTCTCTTTTCTCTTTCCAACCCCCTTTTTTTCCCCCCTCTTCTTCCTCCTCCTCTCTCTTCCTTCCTATTCTTCCTCCGTCTTCTGTTTTTCTTCTATCTTCTCCCTCCCCCTCTTCCTCTTCATCTCCTTCCCTACCTTCCTCCCCTCCTCCTCTCCCTCCCCCATCTTTTTCTTTCATTAACCTACTACATACATCAGGCTGGTCGACCATTGTGCAGTGAATATTGGCCTATAATGTACAGTTAGTTAAGTCAATTGTCTGGGTCTTATTTACGGTACAACTATGGCCAAATAATGCTTAAGAAACAAGTATATCTAAATTTCCAAAGAGAGAGAGAGAGAGAGAGAAAGAGAGATAATGAAAAGTTTAGATATGCTCTAGAAACAAAGGGGAGCCTATTAGTTTAGAGCCTACTAGAGTTTGTTAGAATCTACTGAATGCTACTGGAGCATATTGAAGCCTACTGGAGCCTGTTAGAATATACTGTATGCTACTGGAGCCTGTTAGAATATACTGTATGCTACTGGAGCCTATTGGAACCTATTAGAATCAACTGGATGCTACTGGAGCCTAGTGGAGCCCAGTTACCACTGGTTTAACCTCAGACAGTAATTGATTAGTAGGTAGACCAAGAGAGGTTAGACTCCCAACCTGTGATGAATATCAATGTGACGTGGCCTTTGTCCACTCCACTCCCACACAAACACCACCCCCCCTCCCTACTCACCCCCCCCCACACACCCCCCACAAGGAGTCACAGCTCAAGGTTGAAGAAGCCGCAAGTCCAGAAAACTGAGGGGTAACTTTATCGGAGTGCGGGTTGTGAACTCTTGGAGCAACCTGCCAGAAAGTGTTGTGACGGCACCGAGTGTGAGCTCTTTCAAGACAAGACTTGACCAACACTGGAGCAGGTTCAGGCACATTCAGGAGCCGGTGCATGCCCAGTACTTGCCAACAGTTCATAACAGAGCCAGAAGATGCCCAATACTTGCCAACAGTAACTGCCAGTACTTGCCAACAGTGTAAGAGCCAATACACTCCCAGTACTAGTCAACAGTGTGTAACAGCCAGTACATGCCCAGTACTTGCCAGTGTGTCCAGATGCGATCGACCGCCCCTAGACCCCAGTTGCAAAGTTATTGAAGCAGACTTGATATTTCACTACAGAACAAACTTGTTTACCGCATTAAATAAGGATGTGCTGTACTATCTACGCTGACGACCACTGATGCAGCAAACTGGTTTTTTTACACGACAGTAACAACTGGATCCGCCATCTGTAAAGAAAAGAAAAAATGGTAACTATTCGTCCATTGGCTGTCTTCAGGTTTTGGTAGGAGAATGTTGTTTTTTACGTTTTCAGGGTTTTGCTCAAATCTAACAATTTCATTTGCAAATTATTGCTTTTTGCAAAAAAAAAATGAATATTCATTTTTAACCAACTGCTAATTTGCAAAAAAAAAAATGGAGGTAAAATTTGAGTAAAACACCGAAAAAACTATTCTCATACTAAAGGAACCAACCAACCTAACCTAACCTACAAGGAGGAGGAGGAGGAGGAGGTAAGGAAGGGAGGAATATAACCTCAGGTAAACATGGCGGGAACCTGCGGACAGCCAATGGACCAATATTAACCAAAAAATCTTACGAGTAACAAACTTTTAATACTTCCAAGTTAAATCCTGTAAGATAGAAGACCAAAACATACACTAAGTTACTTCAATACAGTATACACAAAGTCTCAAGTACGGTGACCAAAAGTAAACCGTATTTAATTTAATTTAAATAAATGCATAAGCCAAAATAGTAAAGTATTCTGTAAAGTAATTAGACAATGTGCGTTAACGACCATTAACTTATGCTTGTTCATTAAAGTAATAAATTAACTCTGTGCCTTGTTTATCTTCCAATTTTTTTAGAGGTCCATTTAAAGTATTTCCTTTTAAAATAAATCAGTACAAAATCGACAAATAGGTAACCTTAATATATCAACCTTTACACAAGTATAAATTTAACATCCCAAATAAATTAAAAATAAAACTTACTATTCATTCAAGGAACACGTGTCTGTCAAGTGACAGTGACGACCGACTGCACCACCTCCTCCTGTGTCTCTATAGTTACTGCGATGATGCGATCTTTTAGCGTATCGCCTCTGAGTCTACTCAAGATAGGAAAGCTCCAGGCGTGCACGGGACAGTTGCCAGATACCTCAATAACAGCGCCATCTATTGGCGGCGTCCAGAAGCTATTCATGACGTCATAGATGTTGATGTGACGTCGTGAGTGATATTTATTTACGTTTTCCATTTATATTAGACATATCAATCTTCATTTATGTAAGCATGTATGTATACATATAAAGCGAGAATGAAAAACTACTGTATAATTTTCATTGACTCCATTGCCTTGTGGGGTATGGGATGTCTAGATTCACACTCAGGATGGGATGGAGGAAGGAAACTCACAATGTGCTCTCTGTATACATGTTGTATTGGATGTACAATGCAGCTTGGTGCTGGGAAGGCAGCATGGTTACAAGCGTGATGTAGAGAGAGCTGGTTGGTGAGGACGCTCAGAGGAGGACAGCTTGTGGGTCGCCATGCTCGCCGGCGGGAGCGAGGACCGCCAGGCAGGCGGAGGAGGAGTTGCTGGCTGGTTGGTGTAGGTAGAAAGAGACAGGTCACCACGAGGTCAGGTCTTTTATAGCAGAGGTAGGCGTGGGTAGATAGTTGACCCCCGCTCCGTGGGCGGCGCTGGTTGACCTAGACCACGAGGCATACACTGGGGAATTCGCGGGATCGGCTACTCAGCGACAAACAGCGTTTGTAGGGGAGGAATCCACTACAGCCTCAAGATCTTAGATGAGTTCAGAAATTAAAAGACAAAACCTTTTCTCTTTCACAATCATCACAATTACTGCAAGTGATGAATCACCTGTCATGCCGTTACATAAATTTGGGGAATAAATGACCTTGTTTTCAATAGACGGGATAACAGTACTCCAGGCGGGGAAGTACCTCACCTTTTCTACGGCACTGTTTCATACCTAAGCCTGGTCGTCAAAGGTTAAATCCTTAATTGCCTTAATCTGCTTAATAAGTTGCCAACAGTGCGTAACAGAGAGCCAGTACATGCCCACAGTGCCAAAAGTGCGTAACAGAGAGCCAGTACATGCCCACAGTGCCAACAGTGCGTAACAGAGAGCCAGTACATGCCCACAGTGCCAACAGTACGTAAAAGAGAGCCAGTACATGCCCACAGTGCCAACAGTACGTAAAAGAGACCCAGTACATGTCCAAAGTGCCTAACAGAGAGGCGACAGGCCTCCAAAGCGGCTAACAGGCCGGTCAGTGGCGAAGAGGATAAAAAAAAAAATTCCTATACATTACAGTAACAATAAAAAAGTAATCTCCTATAAATGCTACGTTTTCTCTTATTGTAGCATAAAAGAAAACGCAGGTATATAAACAGTTAAGAGAATGAGATTAAAGGCCAAACTTAATTAAATTACTTTGAATTATATTAAAAGCGGGAATTAAATGACTTTAAAGGCGTTCTCGTAGTATCAAATAGATGATTTAAAATAACAAAAACAATAATGATAATAACAATATAGGTCATTTGCGCGGGAAACGTCATAGAAGAAAAGTGACAGAATTATTGATAATAATAATAATAATAATGATTATGAAAATAAAAAAATAATAATACTATAGAATAATTATAATGTAGATAACTCGGGAAAGTTAAAGAATTTAGGTTAGGTTTTGGCCAGTGTTCAAGGGAGTGACAGAGTGTTCAAGGGAGTGACAGAGTGTCCCAGGGAGTGTCAGAGTGTCCCAGGGAGTGCCAGTGTACACGGGAGTGCCAGAGTGTTCCAGGGATTCCCATGTCGCACGGAGTCTCAGTGTCCCAGGGAGTCTCAGAGTGTCCCAGGGAGTACCACAGTGTTCCAGGGAGTGCCACAGTGTCCCAGGGAGTACCACAGTGTTCCAAGGAGTGCCACAGTGTCCCAGGGAGTACCACAGTGTTCCAGGGAGTGCCACAGTGTCCCAGGGAGTGCCACAGTGTCCCAAGGAGTTTTAGAGTGTACCAGGGAGTGCCACAGTGTTCCAGAGAGGGCCACAGTGTTTGAGAGAAGATGGATTGACACTGATGCTCATAATATTCTCAGAAGAGTTTATAAGTAACAAATTGTCAAAGCTGAAGGTTCATAAGAGCGCTGGTCCTGACAACCTGCATCCCAGAGTGCAAAGAGAGTTGTCCAACGAGCTTGCTGAGTCCCTTAATATTCTGTTCTGTAGATGCTTGGACTGGAAGATGACTTATGTGGGTTCTATATTCAAACAGGTGATCACTATTCCACGAATAAATATACACCAGTGAGCCTGGAACAATCTGCCAGTGTCAGCTCATTCAAAACCACACTTGACCAACACTGACGCAGATACAGAGACCTACTAGAGCCAGAACATGGTCATTACTTGCCAACAATGCATAACACAGACGTAATTGACTCGCCTAAGTGGTTAACAGACTGATCAGTAATGAATAACATAAAGTAAAAATATAAATTATATAGTACAATTCCTCGTAACTACTTTGAAGGTAGTTAGTGACAATTACCCTGTTTGCGTGGCTGGCGTCTTCACCGTCACTGGCCATCTCCCTGTTGTTAGGAATTAGACGTAGACTCAAGCAACTAACTGTCGACGTTCCTTTGCTCTCTTAGGCATTCCTATGCTCTACCAGGCATTCCTTTGCTCTGCGAGGCATTCCGTTACTCCGCCAGGCGTTCCTTGGCTCATTCAGGCGTTCCTCTAGTTCGTCAGGCGTACGATATCAAGCTCAAAGTATAATCAACACTAGTCATCTCTTAGCCTGATCCCCGAGCCCACGCAGTAGCTCATTCAGATGTTTATTTTCTTACCCTGTCACCTCCAGGATTTGTGGCCTTTATAACACGAACATATACTCTCTGACTTTGATCCCACTGCTTAAATAATAAAACAATAGAGCATCACTCACAACCTTCACGCCTCTATAACCTTCAATTACCATTAGGAAACATGAAAACGTAACAACAATACACAACATTTATTATTAAACTAGATTGTAGTTGTTATATCACAATGGGAGTATAATAAAAGAGTATTATACCACAAGAGAGTATAATTAATGTTCCACAAGAGAGTATAATAAAGAAGAATGTGTACAGTGACTCGTGGTGATGTGTGTACAGTATAGTTAATGTGTACAGTGACTCGTGGTGATGTGTGTACAGTATAGTTAATGTGTACAGTGACTCGTGGTGATGTGTGTACAGTATAGTTAATGTGTACAGTGACTCGTGGTGATGTGTGTACAGTATAGTTAATGTGTACAGTGACTCGTGGTGATGTGTGTACAGTATAGTTAATAATGTACAATACACGAACATGTATTCAATTGACATAATCACCCAGTTATTGGCTTCAGTTTAATTATTTCGCTTTCATGTGAGTATAAAATCAGTATTTTCATAACTTAATACATATATATATATGAGTATGTGCAGTATATGTATGTAGAATTATATATACATGACCTAATGTCAACGATTTATACCACCCATTGTTCTTCTGTAATCTTTATTCATAATTTTTTCTTCAAATAAATTACAACTCAACACGAACACAAATATTTATAATTATACAGTATATATATATGACTATGTAACATATGAAACACTTGTTATGATCAACACACGAGGAAGGATACGGTAGCTGTCAACGAGGTGGGCGTCAGAGCTCCCACTTCAGCCCACACCCTCACAGATCAGTGCCAGTGTGAGCACCTTATACCTTCAACGGGAGTTATGTTAGAGGAATAATGAAGCACCTCTACCTACAGTGGCGGGAACAGTAGGTGGCGTGTAGTAAGGTTATGTTGTGGGGGAACGAGTCGACCAGGCCAGGTGTGAGTCGATCAGGCCAGGTGTGGGTTTACCAGGCCAGGTGTGAGTTGACCAGGTCAGGTGTGAGTTGATCAGGCCAGGTGTGAGTTGACCAGGTCAGGTGTGAGTTGACCAGGTCAGGTGTGAGTTGACCAGGCCAGATATGAGTTGACCAGGCTTGATGAGGGTGGACCAGGCCATGTGTGAATCGACCAGGACAGGTATGAGTCGACCAGGTCAGATATGAGTCGACCAGTGTAGGTGTGAGTCGATCAGGCCAGGTGTGAGTCGACCAGGCAAGGTGTGAGTCGACCAGGACAGGTGTAAGTCAACCAGGACAAGTGTGAGTCGACCAGGCCAAGTGTGAGTCGACCAGGACAAGTGTGAGTCGACCAGGACAAGTGTGAGTCGACCAGGCCAAGTGTGAGTCGACCAGGCCTTACCTACCAGGCCTTACCCTACCTCCTAACTCAGTCAACATACTGCAAGACAAGATTCGGGTTAGGTACAACATATTTTATATTCCTTGATGACTTAAGTCTTCAGTGTTTGGTCTTTTTTGAGCTGTAAAACAAGTACAATAATATAATTTCTACTTGACTATGAGGTTAGGTTAGGTTAGGTTCAAGACTTAGCCACAGGGTCAAGAGTAAGGGGCCCACCGTGTAGCGCCACAACAGAGACAGACAACAGGTCATTTCAGCTGTGACGGAACCCCACTACACAGCCTCTCCTTGATGGGACGTCACCATATTCCTCCTGAAGCTGTAGTCGTCCTCCTGAAATGGAAGATAACAGCGTGAAAGTTCTCAAGTTGATGTGGCCAGTCCTCAAACACGTCGACACCATCATCATCATCACTTGACGGGTAGGGAGGTCCAGGTAACATCAGAGAAATAGGAAGCAATTTTATCAGCTGGCTGCTCTTCCTCTCATCAATCCAGTGTTCTAACTTGGTGTAACTATCCCTCGTTACAGCCATTATACCTATAACTGTGTGGGCAAAAGGCCAAGATCATATATTCATACAGTTATCATCCGCAGAAGCAACATCCTCATAGCTGTCATGTATACAGTCGGCGCCTTTAATCTCTCTGAACTAAGTGAAATTACATATTCATAACATAACTTAACCTAAACTAACAACATTTAATACAATCAGACAAACAAGGGGAAGCTTACAAACTCTTTCTCTTTGAGGCGGCGAGATTCAAATGTTTATTTCAGGTTTAAGTATAGTTGCTGGAGATAGTGAATCACTTTACCTGGAGGAGGCGTGCGTGAGCCATGGTGTGTGAGGACGTAGGGTGTACACCATGCTAACCTCTGGCATCTTACGTGTGTGTGGGAGACTGTTATACCGTCGCGACCTAGACCTGCACGATGCTCTCCTGTACGATTCTGAGGGCAATATACATTCATTACCTATATATATATATATATATATATATATATATATATATATATATATATATATATATATATATATATATATATATATATATATATATATATATATATATATATAAAGACCAGTAGCATACCTATAATCCCCCTAGAGAGTTAGTTCTTATAGGAAATAGTATTTAGAAAGTTTTATTAAATGGTTAGACTCAGGTAGGGTGACGTCCTACCCCAGGACACGCACTGGGTGAACCAAGTCTGCCTGAAGGATAAACTAACATTATATTACCAGTTTTTGAGATGAATAAATATTAGGATTTAGAATCAAGAGTAAAAAGCTATTTATATAAACACATTGGGATGATCATCGCTCTCTGTCCTGCTTGGTGAGTTGGTAACCCAAATAGTATAATAATATATAAAACACGATAAGAACAGACGTGCAGAAGGAGATACAGTTAGAGGGAAAATATCGTAGTGATCATTGAGTTGTTTTATAAGTTCGTTGTTTCCTCAAATACTTCAGGTTGGTTGAAGTGTTATTCATTCAGACCTCGTGTTGATACTGGCCAAGTTCCCTGTCCATTTTACCGCTCTACTAAACCTGGGCTGCCACAGTCTCAGAGATCCGAACGATGTGGTGGTGTTTCTCGTGTGTCTGTACTCAAAAAAACTACCTTTACTTAGGGGGGGGGGGGAATGGACACTACGACTGCTGTTATATCGATAGGGTTGTCATAATCCTTCATCCGTTGAGAAATATTATCTGACACAATTTTGTAAGGAAAGTTTTTTAAGCTGCCTGACTGGATGACTTCGGTTAACATATTAACATGACGTCTAAATATAACACCTGAATTACACTGTTTTATACCTTAACTTAGACAAAATTAAAAGTACAGAATATTTAGACAAATATATTTCCTACGTTATTTTTGTCTTTTGTTAAGGGAACGTTTCTAGTTAAGGTAGAGTCTCAGTGTAATTTTGTCTCCTAACTGGTGCTAAATGAACGTATCTAGTGAAGGTAGAGTCTCAGTGCAATTTGATGTTATTTTTTGAGGTAATTTTTGCGGTTTAAATTAAATGAAACAGCCAGGTACATCTTTTTCACCTTCACGTACAATATATATTCATGGTAGCGAGGCCTTGTGTTTGTTGAGTCTCTCTCCCCTCCAGTAAGTGTTGCTCGCTGGCTCATGAATACCTCTCTTGACACGTTTGTTGTTATTTGTGAGTATTGTGAAGCAAATGTGAGAGATTAGTTAACAGGGGAGAGTTTAAGTCAGGTTAAGTGAAGTAAGGGGAGTTGATGTGAAGCTAGGTAAGGGGGGAGGTGATGTGGGGTGAGGTGAGGTAAGGGGAGGTGATATGGGTGAGGTGAGGGGAGGTTAGGTTAGGTGAGTTGACCCAACCTAACCTCACCATGAAAACAATGACTACGTAAAAATGTCAATTTTACCTCGTAGAGGCTCCTATCTGATTCTTATACATTTCAGAACACCACCACTGGATACCTCCTCCAGCCATACACACCACCCACACACACCTACCCCCACCACCACACCTCTACACCCCCCCACCACCACCACACCACCACACCTCCCACCCCACCACACCCCCCCACACCCCACACCCCCACCACACACCTCCCACCCCACCACACCCCCCATCACACACACCCCCACCCCCACCACCCTCCACCCACACACACCCACCACACACCTCACCCACACACACCCCTCCCCACCACCCCCACCACCACACCCTCACCACACCCACCCACCCCACACCACACCCTCACCACACACCCCCCCCACACACCACACACCCCACCCTCCCCCCACACACACACACACACACACCACACCCCCACACACACCTCCCACCACACCCCACACATACCCCATCTACACACCACACACCCCCACACCACACCTCACCACCACACACACCACCCCCACCCCCCACCACACCCCACCCCACACACCTCCCACCACCCTCCCACACCCCACCACCACACATCCTCCACCACCACACCCCCACCACCACACACCACCACACACCTCCACCACCACACCCCACCACCCCACCCACACCCCTACACCTCCACCACACACCCCTCACCCCGCCACACACCCCACCTATCCTCCACCACCCCACCACCCCCACACACACACCCCACACCCCACACACCCTCACCCTCCCCCACCCCCATCACCACCCCCCCACCACCCCCCACACCCCACCTCGACCACCCCACCCACCCCCCACCCACCCACACCCCACCTCCACCCCCCCCACACACACACCGGCCCTCGAGATCATCTATGAAGGGCTAAGACTTTTCTGCTGAAATTCCAATCTGCAGGAACTCTACCCCACCAACACACACACACACACACACACACACACACACACACACACATATAAACCCTGAACTAATACTGGGTGGATCTCCCTTCCTTCAGTGTGTGTTCTTGCCTGCAGTAGTTCAGTTCATCCTCGTCCACATACCTTCACTATTTTGGTAATGTCTCGGTGAATCTGGTAACGGTATGTGATAAAGAAAGGATGTTTAAGGATGTTATTTACGAAGTACAGTCGGTAATTTAAAGGGAATTATAGAGTTGTTATTAGCCATTGTTATCTCACTCCGTTACCTCCTTCCTCTCTCTCTCTCTCTCTCTCTCTCCTTGTCCCTTTCTCTCCTCTTTTCCTCCTTCCTCCTCCTCCCTCCCTCCCTATCCTCTCCCCCCCTCACGTTCCGTCCCCTCTATCGTCTCCCTTCCTTGCCCACCTCCCTCTCCCTATCCCTCCTTCCATCTTCCACTCTCCTTTCCCTCTCCCTCCCTCATTCTCTCGTCCATTCCCAGCACAACCCAGCAATTTAAACTTTCCTCGATCGCGGGCTGGTTCTCTATGTCAGCTGCTTTCATGACGACACATTTTGATCTCGTCATGCTTCCCTGAATCCTAGCAATAGTGTTTTAAGGCGCATTGAGAGCTCTTGGACCGTCGCTAAACCACACTCTACCGCGGAAGAGGAGGGGGAGGAGGAGAACGAGGAGGAGGAGGAAGAGGAGGAGCAGGAGGTAGAAGAAGAGGAGAAATAGGAGGAAGAGGAAGAGGTGTTGATACTCTGTCTATTATCTAAAGGGTCACTTATGATCCAGAGATACTGAAGATGTTGGTATCTGGATTAGGTACCTGGATATGGGGCACGGAGGCTGCGAAACCTGAGATACCAAGGCATGGGGCACCTGGGTATCAATTCTAAGGCATCCATTGGTATTTTGACGTACTGAGATAATTACGGAGGACTTACCTTAGTGTTGGAGGCCTGGGGGAGGTACCTGGAGGCCACACAAATGAGGAGAGTGAGGAGGAGAGGTAAGGAGGTAGTGTGGATCCCCGCCGATGAATGAATAGCTGCCGGCGTCTCACCTCCTGATAGGGGAGACAGCGTTAGGTGTTTTACAGGTGAGAACTGCAAGGTGGTGAAGGTGTGAGTGGGGGATAAATGTTTACCTTCCTCTCTCTCTCTCTTTCTCTCTGTGTGTCTCTTTCTGTCTCTCTCTCTTTCTCCCTGTGTGTCTCTTTCTGTCTCTCTCTCTTTCTCTCTCTTTCTCTCTCTTTCTTCCTCTCTTCTCTCTCTCTCTTTCTTTCTCTCTGTGTCTCACTCTCTCTTTCTCAAACACACACACACACACACACACACACACACACACACACACACACACACTCTGAAAGGTTGGACAGTCTGTAAGTCAGTCAGTCACTCCTTGGACACCCTCGTAACTCAATGATGTGTTTGGTCACTCACTCCTAACACATCACAGTAGAAAGATTAAATCTGTCACTACTTCTTCTCCTTATTAATCTCCTCACACGCAACAAATTATTAGCAGCAGTTATTATGACACACAACTCATCTGAAACAAGTTTATATAATTGTTTTTGTTGTATCTCAAACTCAACTAATTCTAAATGACTTTCTTCTTGAATAACTCATTTTGTCATTGTGTTCTTGTAGTTTACTTTATTATTACTAAAGCCAACAAATTCTGGAATTAATTTGTATAGGTTTTCACTTCATTGATGTTCTTCTGTTTACAGGAATTTGTTTATCATTCTACAACGTTTTGATTATAATAAATAAATGACTATATATACTGTACATTAGGTGAATATATATGAATCATTATCAATATCATTATTATTATCACATTCATCACCATTATCATCACCAACACCACCCTTACCACCATCACCAGTATCACCCTCAACACCATCACCACCACCATCATCATCCCCACCACCATTACCACCATCATCATCCCCACCACCATCACCACCGCTACCACTACCCTCACCCCCCAACACCCCCCAACACCCTCAACGCCCCCAACACACCCCCCATTCCTCACCACCTCACACTACCCTAGTCCTCCGTAGCCCCGCCTGCAGTGAGATCGCCTGTTGCCATCGGAAAATAAACAAGATAGTGGGAAAAAAAAGAGCGTGGGAAAATAAACAAGATCGTGGGAAAATAAACAAGATCGTGGGAAAATAAACAGGATCGTGAGAAAAAAAGAGCGTGGGAAAATAAACAAGAGCGTGGGAAAATAAACAAGATCGTGGGAAAAAGAAGCGTGGAAAATAAGCAGAGCGTGGGAGAAAGGCCAACAAGAGCGTGGGAAAATAAACAAGATCATGGGAAAATAAGCAAGATCATTAGGAAAATAAACAAGATCATTAGGAAAATAAACAAGGTCGTGGGAAAATAAACAAGGTCGTAGGAAAATAAACAGGATCGTGAGAAAATAAAGCAAAGATCGTACAGAACTATGACGGCTGGAAGCGACAGTCTCGGCCCAAGAAAAAAATATGTAAATTGAGGGCAAAAAGAGAAAATAAATATAAGCTGAGACTGTTGAGGAGGAGACAGAGGAGGAGAGGAGGAGAGGAGAGAGGAGGAGAGGAGGAGGAGGAGGAGGAGGTGGAGGAGGGGAGGAGGAGAGGAGAGGAGGAGGAGGAGGAGAGGAGAGGAAGGAGGATAGGAGAGGAGAGGAGGAGAGGAGGAGGAAATCAATAATATGAATGAAAACAGCAATGATATTGACTGACTGACTGACTGACTGACAGTTAAGTGATGAGTGACAGGATTTAACACACATTCTCAACATCTCCTAGATAGAAAAACAGACAGACAGACAGACAGACACATACAAAGACAGACAGACAGACACACACACACACACACACACACACACACACACACACACACACACAATATAAACAATCTCACGAAAAACAAAACAAACAACCACAGGAGTCAAGTTTTTTCTCTTTCGGGTAAAAGTGAAAGTTAGTCCAGGTTTAGGATATAAAAAAGAAAGAAGAGAAAGGAAGAAAGCTTGAATGTAAAAGACAAACTTTCTTTCAAGCTTTTTTTTTTTAATTTCACTTTCTGTTTTGTACAGGATCTATAGTTTCACGTCGACTTGTTGTTAAGGATGGACTACTGATGCTAACATGAATCAGGATGAAGGTCGTTGTGGTGCCATTAATAGTCAAAGGGATTTAGTACACACACACACCTGTAACACACATTTAAACACCTGTAATTAACTCTCCGACACCTATGGTCCACCTTTCGACACCTGTGACTCATCTTTCAACACCTGTGACTCATCATTCAACACCCGTAACTCAACATTCAACACTTGAAACCCAACATTCAATACACGTGACTCAACATTCAACACCTGTAACATATTTTAACACTTGTAACTCAACATTCAACACCTGTAACATTCAACATACGTGACTCAACACCTGAAGCTCACCTTTTAACACCTGTATGTGGATATGGGCGGGGCGAGCGTTGGATGGGGCACAGGTGTAGTTTCCGGAGTCCGCTGGTCGCACGTTGCTCAGAAATAACACACTCAGACCTCTGTTATTCTCCACACGGACCTAGAGTGGTGATAGAGTGGTGATAAGTACAAGGGGACGATGATGATGATGATGATGATGATGACGATGATGATGATGATGACACAATAATAATAATAATCAGTGTTATCTTTCAATATTTCATAGTATCATTGTTTCATTTTCCTTCACTTATTTTCCTCCTTTCCTCCATTATTCTCCTCTCATTATCCTTCCTTCATTATCCTCCTCTCCTTCATTATCCCCCTCTCATTATCCTCCTTTCCTTCATTATCCTTCCCTCAGTATCCTTCCTTCATTATCCTTCCCTCATTATCCTTCCTTCATTATCCTTTCTTCATTATCCTTCCTTCCCTCATTATCCTTCCTTCCTTCATTATCCTCCTTTCCTTCATTATCCTTCCCTCATTATCCTCCTTCCTTCATTATCCTCCTTCCTTCATTATCCTTCCTTCCCTCATTATCCTCCTTCCTTCATTATCCTCCTCTCCTTCATTATCCTTCTTCCTCTCATTATCCTCCTTTCCTTCATTATCCTTCCCTCATTATCCTCCTTCCTTCATTATCCTACATTATCCTCAGTTGGTCGCCCACACCTTCAGAGCATTCTTGTCTTCTATCTGAGAGCGACGTCTTGTCATGTTTCGCTTCTTGGCACCTCTCTCTGTCTCTCTCTGTCTCTTTATGTCTCTCTGTCTCTCTCTGTCTGCTGTTTCCCGTTCTTTCTCTGTCTCTCTGTTATCTCCTGTTGTCTCTGTCTTTCTGCTGTCACTTGTTCTCTGTCTCTCACTTAAAAGCCTCTCTCGTCTTCCTGGGTAATGGTGACCATGACTCCTCATTCCACTGCTGAGTTTCCACCTGCCTGACTTCTCTCTCTCTCTCTCTCTTCCTGCCTATCTCACTCTCTCTCCCTCTCTCTCTTTCCCAATCTCTCTTCCCCCTTCTTTCTCTACCTATATTTCTCTTTCTCCCTCCTTATCTCTCTCTTTTTCTTCCTCCAACTAATTGTTTATTATGTGTCGAGTCTCTTTCCCTCAGGACACGGAGAGAGAGAGAGAGAGAGAGAGAGAGAGAGAGAGAGAGAGAGAGAGAGAGAGAGAGAGAGAGAGAGAGAGAGAGAGAGAGAGAGAGGTAAAGAAAAAACAAAAGCAGTACAGTTAATTTACAGTTGTACAAGCCCTACAGGTGATTAAGTGAAGCTCTGTTTATTAGACTGGCTCTAAGTGATACAGTTAATGAACAGTCACTTACTTAACTGGATATAATTAGTATCGTTAATGAACCATCAATTAAATGGAGGTACTTAATGCTATAATGAACTGTCACTTAATTAACAGGAGTTGATGAAGCACTGCTGAAATGACCAGTCAGTCAGTCAGTCAGTCAATCAGTCAGTCAGTCAGTCAGTCAATTAATCAGTTTACGCTTCATTTAAGTATTGAGAGGAGGAAGCTGGAGTGGATTACCAGGAAGGGAGAGTATACTGAAGGGAGAGTATACTGAAGGGGGAGTATACTGAAGGGAGAGTATACTGAAAGGGGAGTATACTGAAGGGGGAGTATACTGAAGGGGGAGTATACTGAAGGGAGAGTATACTGAAGGGAGAGTATACTGAAGGGAGAGTATACTGAAGGGAGAGTATACTGAAGGGAGAGTATACTGAAGGGAGAGTATACTGAAAGGAGAGTATACTGAAGGGAGAGTATACTGAAGGGGGAGTATACTGAAGGGAGAGTATACTGAAGGGAGAGTATACTGAAGGGAGAGTATACTGAAGGGAGAGTATACTGAAGGGAACACGGTGGCTTGACTTCATCTACCAGACAACGTGACACAGGTACAGACGTCAACTACCAACAATAGGTCGACTGTTCCCTCCAGCCTCCACCACCAACTGAGAAACACGAGAAGAAAAAAATAATATATATGCAACGGTTCACACGCAGAGAACCTTTTGTCTTCTTCTAAGTAAGTAAAGCTTTCACAGCACAAACACACGTCCTGAGAGAGAGAGAGAGGAAGAATGAAATTAGGGGAGGTGATGTAAGGTCATCCTGTACCCTGGGGTTAAGTGTGGACACAGCAGAGAGCTTCACCAAGGAGAGAGTCAAGGGCAGGACACAGACTCCACCGCTGCCTTTAACACAGACGTTCGTATGGTAATGTTTCAGCAGGCAGAGAAAGGTGGACCAGACACCTCTATGTTTAAAATCTTTTTCCTTGTGAGTTCCCCGGTACAGGTGAATTGTTAGTACTTTGTTACCTGCTAAATGTCACATGGAATTTGTACTCCAACAACAACAGAAACATCAACTCAAACTTTTAAAACAAATTGCTTTAAATGAAAATGAATTTATCATTTTTTTTCGTAAGGTCTTCGGTACAGGTGAAATGTTAATTAATTTTTAACCCGAGATGAAATTTCACACGGCTCAATCACCCCGGCTAGCGTGTAAACATCATCATCAGTCCTAAAGAAATATACTAGCAGATAAAAGGAAGAATAGTCCATCTTTATTCCTGGTTGTTACCCGGTACATGTGAATCGTGCACCGTGTGTTGACTTGAGTGATGGGTAAACTTCACATGGACTACGGACCCTCAACATTTGCGTCGACGGTACATAGGAACATACTTTTATCTGATAAGAGATGAAAGGATCAATGGATAGTCCTGTTTCCCTTTACCTTCCGTGAAAAGAATTTATTTCCCTTTTTATTCCAGTTTCCATTTTCGTTTATGTGCAACTGCGTTAAAAAATATAACCCAGGTGTCGGATGTTCAAAAGACTGCGAGTTAAAATTTCCCTCAAAATGGAGATATGAGAACACATTCACCTGGCTCACTGCATCTATGACGAGGAGATAACCGCTCCAAAAGTGGGGGAAATACCCTAAGACTGTGTTATAGCTTAAACTCTATCTCGCTTTCTCTCTCCTATCTTTCTTTCTCCCCCTCTTTCTCTCGCTTTCTCTCTTTTTTTCTCTCTCTCCTTCGCTCTTTCTCTCGCCCTCCCTCTTCCTCTAAATAGCTTCAGGCGAAAAAATGGCAAATCCGGATTCTGGATTCATAATACCACATAAAAACGGGAGCTGCAAGAACGTATATGAAACCTGAGAAGAAAAATAAAGGGAATTATTGCTGTTACTGTATCGCCATTATTCGTGGTCTCTGTTTCATCACTGTTATCCCTTATTTTTGATGGTTTAATGGTGATGGTTTAACCCCTTAATGGTGATGGTTTAACCCCTTAATGGTGATGGTTTAACCCCTTGATGGTGATGGCTTAACCCCTTAATGGTGATGGTTTAACCCCTTAATGGTGATGGTTTAACCCTTTGATGGTGATGGCTTAACCCCTTAATGGTGATGGTTTAACCCCTTAATGGTGATGGTTTAACCCCTTGATGATAATGGTTTAATCTCCTGAGTTTTCCAAGTGACTTTGACCGTACCAGTTAGGATTGACCTAAACCTCAGCTCAATGGGCCCCGTCAGTACTGGGCTCATGAGAAATGTGTGGAACCAGACGCGAACACGACAGTTGCTGGGTCAAACTCACTGAACTATGATAGGGCAAAGTTCACCTCCTGACGTCACGCCAAGGAAACTATGGAATGAGTCTGAATATTCAAGGCTTCGCTAATCATGGGAGAGCAGGTGATTCATGGGAGACTTGGGTGAATCATGGGAGACGTGGGTGAATCATGGGAGACGTGGGTGAACCATGGGTGACGTGGATGAATCATGGGAGACGTAGATGAATCATGGGAGACGTAGATGAATCATGGGAGACCGTGGGTGAATCACGGTAGACGTGGATGTAAAATAATGATGATAATAATAACGATAATGATATTCTCAACCTTATCTCACCTGTAAAGAAAACCAATTAAGACAATATATGTTAATGAGTTACCTGTGGGGGAGGTGATCTGACGGAGGTATTAGCATTAATGGCTACTGTGAATAAAGGCGATAGTATGTATGGACGAGTTAGATTCTCTACCTCTCCCTACCTACGTAATCACCTCTGTGGTACTGGTGGTCGAATGGAAGATGCGAGAACCTGGTAGAATGACAGATGTACCCCATAACAGACGTACCCCATGACAGATGTACCCCATAACAGACGTACCCCATGACAGATGTACCCCATAACAGATGATGTACCCCATGACCCCATGACAGACGTACCCCATGACAGATGTACCCCATAACAGACGATGACAGATGTACCCCATAACAGACGTAGCAGATGTACCCATAACAGATGTACCCCTATAACAGACGTACCCCATGACAGATGTGCCCCCATGACAGGCGTACCCCATGACAGACGTACCCCATGACAGATGCCCCATGACAGGCGTACCCCATGACAGATGTACCCCATGACAGAGACATGCCCATAACAGACGTACCCTATAACAGACGTACCCCCATGCATCGTACCCCATAATAGACGTACCCCATAACAGATGTACCCCATGACAGACGTACCCCATAACAGATGTACCCCATGACAGACGTACCCCATGACAGATGTACCCCCATGACAGACGTACCCCATGACAGATGTACCCCCATGACAGACTTACCTCCCTGGTGGCGTGGTAGTTGATCATGTGGTGGTTGTGGTACCAGAAGACGTAGGTGGGTGGTTGTGTGTTGTCTCTCAGTACACACACGAGTCTCAGCGAACTGCCCACCGTCATGTACTTCTCAGGACCTCCCAGGATCTCTGACGTCGCCTCTGTCAACAACAATAATAAACTTACTTTCATCTTCAATTTAAAAGTAGAAGTTAGTATCACCAACAAAAACAATAAGGATTAAGTTAATTTCACCTAAAATAAGAAAATAACTGTTTTCACCACCACTTGAATCAATTTTCCAAACGTTAAAAAAGACAAAATTATCTTCACCAACAAGACAAATATTATAAACATAGAGTTATTTTCACCGCCACCATCACCACAACAACAGGAAAAACCTCACAGAATTTATCTCCCCGACATAAACAAGTGAGACATTTACAGCAGCACTCGTCGGTCAACAGCTGGAGGTGGCGGCTCAGTAGATGTCCTCTGGAACCACATCTTGTCTGTGTTGGGTTCGAGGCCCAAATGTACTGTACAGTCATAGGGGGAAAAGTCCTAACAGTCCTCCTTCCCAAACACAAACCCTGAGACTCATGAACTTGTGAATCCGAGACATCACATAGTATGCCATCTATGTGTCATGTCTCGGATTCACAGGTTCATGAGTCTCAGGGTTCGTGTTTGGGAAGGAGGACTGTTAGGACTTTTTTCCGTGACTGTACTAGGAGAAGAAGTCAACCCCAATTTGAGATCGGAAAATATTGAATAAAATACTTTCATAACATGGGAATGGTACATGGGAATTCCAGTACAATATTTGGGTCAAGGTAAACACCAAGGCACATGAGTAAACACTGATGGAAGAATCAATAGTAAACACTTGGCTGTCTCTCCTGTTTAACAAAATAAATAAATTTAAAGATAAATAATAAATAAATTAAGAATAAGTGAATAAATACACAAAAATGTATCTTTTATAAGTGTTATGTTGACGTGACTTATATTCATATCCACCATATGATTCTCAAGGGGATACGAATGCAATTAAATTCACTTTCCTCACCTAAAAAACTTCCACATCAAGCGCAATAAATGTATTACTTTCAACAATCGCGAAAAAAGAAAAAGAAATTATTGTATTAATTTCAGCAACAGCAATAACAGCACTCGTTCTATAACAGCGTATAATACCTCGTCGACCATAACCACGATCTACAAAGCCATTTATTACAGTAAGCAATTTTGAAAACAATGGTGACAGCCAGTGAGCGTTTACTCTCACAAACTGCCTAACTAATTATCACTTCTGCATATACACAGAGGAACAGATGAATTGGTATTTATACTTCGCTGAGTGTGCTTAACCCTACATTATTAAGAATTATATAAAATTAACCGTAATGTGTGGTATAATTTAGGTTATAGTGTTAATTATATATCAACCCTAACGAGCTACAGGTAAGGACACACACACACACACACACACACACACACACACACACACACACACACGTACCTAAACCAAACACGTCATATACAGTTCCCATATATCACTTGTACCACCAAACAACATGACAGGTGTACAAACATTGGGAAAACATTACGTCTGTCTCCATCAGATATATTTTCGAGTGAGCTTTGACAATTTACAAACACACGGACATTATTTTCTGATTCAAATGAGTGTATCTGACTCTCTGCCATCCGTGTGCCATTCCCTTTATCCACCCTATCCCCTCTTCTTCTTCGTCGTCTCTCCATCCTACCTGCTCTTCTTCCTCCTTTCATCCCGTCTTTCTCCTCCTCCTTCAACCTACTCTTCCTCCTCATTCTATTCCCCTCTTCCTCCTTCCTTTATCCCACTCTTCCTCCCGGTTCTACCTCTTCTTCCACCTCCCTACTCCACCACCACATCTGTCAACATCACAAAACAAGTGAATTTTAAGCGTCATCACATTTCTGCCGCTTGGTTGAGCTGCCAGGGGGTTTAAACACTTATCTTCTCGCCTCGTCGGTCTTTCATTCAGGCTGTCACGTATATAAAACAATATCAAACAACCAGCTATATGTCTGTCAGTTACCTATGTCTGTCAGTTACCTATGTCTGTCAGCTGTCTGGAGTTTGGTAAGTCCGTCAGGTAAATATTTGGAAAAGATGGAAAAATAATATTGTAAATAAAGTTGTTAGATTCTGTTATATATATTTGTTATAACATGACGACAGAGAGAGAGCGGTGACCTGAGCTGAGAACAGTGAGATTTGCTCTAAGGTAAGTCAGGTGTACGGGATGTTAGTTCAGGTAGAAGGATAATATTTGAGTTAGGAGTTTGTTCAGCTGTATTTCACTTATCTACTACCTAACCTAACCTAATCTAACCTTTCCTTCCCACTCATCTTTCCTCTTCCTTTATCCCTTCCCATTACTCAGCTTATCTCCCCCTCTTGTTCTCCTCCCATCACTGTCTGTAATCTCCTCTTATTTCTCTCCCTACTTCTGTTCCTTCTCCTCCCCCTTTCCCTGTCCCTCTCCCTTCTTCCTTCTCTCCCTCCCTCTCTCACCACTATTTCATCCACTTTGCCCAACCTCTCTTATCTCATTCACTAACCTTTTATCTCTCTTTCTCGTCAATCTCCATTCTTCTCCAGCCCCTCACACTTCTCACTTTCATCCTTCTCTTGCCCATCCCTCACCTCCCTCCCTCCCTCCCCCCCTCCCTTCATCTCCTATCCCATCCATCATCCTCACTACCTACCCTCTCTCGTTACCAGCTTTCCTTGCCTCCTTCTTCCTTTCCTTCTTCCTCTCCCTCCTCCTACCCTATCCATCACCCCTTCCTAACCTCTTTCACAATTCTCCCTCAATACCATCCTTCCCTCCCTCCCTACCCTACATTAACCTGCCTTTCCTCTCTCCTCCTAATCCTCTTTCACAATTCTTCCTTCCTACCTCTTCTCCCTGCCTCTCCCTCCCTCTCCGCCCTCCATTCATTCATATTCAGGAAGGTTGGCCAGCAAACGTTCCTCTTACGCCCACCAGCAGACTCCATCAACCAGGGTTCACGCCAGACAACAGGGAGGGGAGGGGTCTCTTGTGTATACGTTTGGCTCTTATTAATAACCTAACCTAAGACGAATAGGGCAGACAAGAGGATGACGAGGGACGTGTAGGGTAAACAGGAGGCTGACGGAGGGACGTGTAGGGTAGACAGGAGGCTGACGGAGGGACGTGTAGGGTAGACAGGAAGCTGACGGGGGGAAACTCACCTAAGACGTGTAGGGTAAACAGAGGCTGACGGAGGGACGTGTAGGGTAGACAGGAGGCTGACGGGGGACGTAGGGTAGACAGGAGGCTGACGGGGGGAACTCACCTAAGGTGTGTGGGGTAGACAGGAGGCTGACGGGGACCTAAGGCGTGTAGGTAGACAGGAGGCTGAGGGGGAACTCACCTAAGGCGTGTAGGGTAGACAGGAGGCTGACGGGGGAGGAACTCACCTAAGACGTGTAGGGTAGACAGGAGGCTGACGGGGGTGGGAGGAGACCTGACACTGTACACGCCGTCATCTCTCACTTGCACGTAGCGGATGTGTAGCTGCCAGTCCTGTGGGAGAGATAGAGACCGTGAGGCCAGGAAGAGACCACGTGAGGCCACGTGAGGCCAGGAGAGACCACGTGAGGCCAGGAAGAGACCACGTGAGGCCAGGTAGAGACCACGTGAGGCTAGGGGAGAGACCACGTGAGGAGGAGAGACCACGAGGAGAGAGACCACGTGAGGCTAGGGAGAGACCACGTGAGGCCAGGAAGAGACCACGTGAGGCTAAGGAGAGACCACGTGAGGCTAAGGAGAGACGTGAGGCCAGGAAGAGACCAGAGGCCAGAGAGAGAGAGAGAGAGAGAGAGAGAGAAACATGGCTCTGTACAAGTCAGTGCCATGTTAAGCACCTCAACTGAATCTTACACATAATGGTAAATCTCTCTCTCTCTCTCTCTCTCTCTACTTTATATCATAATGTATTCTGTTCTTTTCCTTTCTACCACACACACACACACACACACACACACACACACACACACACACACACACACACACACACACACACACACACACACACACACTTACTAGAAAACTTTATAGTATTAACAAATTCTCCCAAGTTGCAACTGTCTACTAACTGTACCGGATATTGCAATATACTGCATAGCTTGCAAACTGTGTAGATCTCACGAGAGAGAGAGAGAGAGAGAGAGAGAGAGAACAGGTTTTACTTACATAGTTACGATGTGTGTGTGTGTGTGTGTGTGTGTGTGTGTGTGTGTTTGGTGTACTCCAACTAGACACATCAATACCTTCCACCATCCTTCCCCTCTCTTTCCCTCTCATCTCCTCAACCTTCCTCCCCTCCCCTCTCCACCCCTCTCCACCCACAGATGAAAACAAAACAAAAACGAAATCGTGCAATCACAAATCTTACACTTGCAATTGAGAACGACGTTGCAATCTTCAAGAAAACAAAATATTATTGCAAATTCTCTCCCAAGTCTTTCTTTTTTGTTTTTCTTTTTTTATCTCCCCAGCTGACTTGAGTGGATGTAAATCGTCTCTCACAGTCTCTTGAGAGATATTGAAGCTCACATCTCAATGAGTTTTATCTCTCAACTCATCTAAGACAGAGAAATATCAATTAATACTGTTTATATAATACCCTACCCTACCCTACCCTACCACTCCCCACCCCTACCCTACCTCACCTGCCTCCCCACCCCTACCCTACCTACCCCACACACACCTACCCTACTCCTACCCTCCCTCCTCCCACCCTTCCCCCACTCCCACCCACCCTGCTCCCACCCCTCACCTTGCCTCTACCCTTACCCTACCCTCCCACCCTCTACCCTGCCCTGCCTTGCCCTGCCCTGCCTTGCCCTGCCTTGCCCTGCCCTGCCCTACAGGCTAGTGGTACTCACATTCTCCTGCTTAATGTAGCGGACCTGGAACCTGCTGTCACTGCTGTAGGTCTGGGAGCCAACTGTAAGCAGGTGGTAATCTCTCCTTCTGATCCACGACACCTGTGGGAGAGTGGGTGAGGGAGAGTGAGTGAGGGAAAGAGAGTGAGGGAGAGTGAGGGAGAGTGAGGGAGAGAAAGTGAGTGAGGGAGAGTGAGGGAGAGAGAGTGAGAGAGAGTAAGTGAGGGAGAGAGAATGAGGGGAGAGCTAGAGAGAAGAGTGATAGACTGAAAAAAATAGAAAATAAGAAACACAACAGAAAAGAAAAAACCCACCAAAGACTAAAATAAAAGCGTGTAAAAAAAACCTCCTCTCTTATACAAACTTCACATGTAACTTAAATTCTCTGTTTTTGTCTCTAGTTCTCCTGCCCAGAATATCCTCCAAGGAAAACGTCTTGAAGAAATGTTTCCCACAACCACACACATTAAAAAAATTAAGAAAAGGAAAATAATGTCTGTATGTATGTACTGTATGTATGTATGTATGTATGTATGTATGTATGTATGTATGTATGTATGTATGTATGTATGTTACTAGACAGAACACGTTACACCTAAGATAGTGAGGAAAAACCTGAAATCCACGACTAAATGCTATAACCGTTCTATGAGGTAACGTAAGACTTTAAAATAATGAATCCGTGTTGGTTCGTGTGTCGTCTCGGATTAACAGGTTCATAAGTCTCAAAGTTCCTGGTTGGGGCGGGGGAATAACAGGACATATTGTTTTTCCTGTACCTATGTGGGGCTATACCTGGACAGAGAAGGTAGGAGCATCAATCAACCATATCATCAATTAATTGGATTTTTTTTTTACTCCGTTATCTATGTATCAGTGGAGCATATAATGACGTCGATTATTTTAAAAGAGTTACATTTACCTGCTGTATCATGACAACTTAATGATGACGCTAATTAATACCTAATAAGCTGCAGCTCCTTCAAGATGTTTACATATTTTTTGGAGACCACCCTGTTTAGAGTTAATGTTTATAGGTAGAGTTAATGTTTATAGGTAGAGTTAATGTTTATAGGTAGAGTTAATGTTTATAGGTAGAGTTAATGTTTATAGGTAGAGTTAATGTTTATAGGTAGAGTTAATGTTTATAGGTAGAGTTAATGTTTATAGGTAGAGTTAATGTTTATAGGTAGAGTTAATGTTTATAGGTAGAGTTAATGTTTATAGGTAGAGTTAATGTTTATAGGTAGAGTTAATGTTTATAGGTAGAGTTAATGTTTATAGGTAGATTTAATGTTTATAGGTAGAGTTAATGTTTATAGGTAGAGTTAATGTTTATAGGTAGAGTTAATGTTTATAGGTAGAGTTAATGTTTATAGGTAGAGTTAATGTTTATAGGTAGAGTTAATGTTTATAGGTAGAGTTAATGTTTATAGGTAGAGTTAATGTTTATAGGTAGAGTTAATGTTTATAGGTAGAGTTAATGTTTATAGGTGGAGTTAATGTTTATAGGTAGAGTTAATGTTTATAGGTAGGGTTAATGTGATTTAATTAACAGGTGAAATAAACTAGGCGAGGTAATCTTCAGGTGGTCATCATACTAGTACAGTACACTCTGATTGGTTAAAAAGTTGTTCAATTTGGTTCAGAGTTCAGCCTTGTTCATAATTCCCTCTGGTGTGAGTTTTTTTGAGTGAAATCGAGAAAAAACACGAATATCAAGGTTACTCTCTGATGTTTTGACTTTGTTCAAATAACTTTTCATCAGGGAATTGGTCAGTAACAAGTTTATTCTGGGAGTGAAACAAAACAGAATTTAGTCTCACCGGTCGAGAAGCGTTTATAAAAAAAGAACAAACATATAAGTTATTTCTAAAGTAATTAACAAGAATAATGACAAGGATTACGACACTCTGACCCAGGATTTAAATTAATACGTTCAGCTGGGCAGGATATGATGTTCTATGTTGGTGTGAGCGTGTGTAGGTGTAGGCGTGTGTAGGTGTGGGCGTGTGTAGGTGTAGGCGTGTGTAGGTGTAGCTGTGTATAGGTGTAGCTGTGAGTAGGTGTAGCTGTGTATAGGTGTAGCTGTGTATAGGTGTAGCTGTGTATAGGTGTAGCTGTGTATACGTCGGTCCTAGCATAATTTTCAGACACAAAAAAAAAAAAGAAGAGAAAATCCACATTATTTTGTGTTGCTTAACGTGGAAACTTAACCCGGAAGAAATTAGCCTTAGGAAGTATTTGTGTGTGTGTGTGTTGTCGACTGCTGGCTATTTACAGGGCCTCCAAAATCTCCGTCTTTGGGATTTTAAGCGTGCGGATTCAGAGACTTCAGTCCACGATTCGATTGCGGGGTAATTAGTGGTCGTAATGACACTTAAAAGATTTTAATGACTTTTTTTTTCAATGGTAATTCCAGTACTCCCTAATAATGGGTTTCTGAGGTGCGATTTTGTTGTGTTTTGTGTTATTATGGAAGTACTTAATTAGTTTAACGCCTTGAAATCCAATTCCTAGAGGTGGTGGAGGGAGAGACGAGAGAGGGAGAAAGAGAGGGTGTGTGTGTGTGTGTGTAATCTCCAGTACCATTGTAAAGGCCCTGGAGGAGACGTGACCTCAACACTTGCAACATAACTCTCTCTCTCTCTCTCTCTCTCTCTCTCTCTCGGGACACATCAAAGGTGGCGGGAAAACAGAGCCATCAGGTGAATGAAGGAAGGAAGAGTGCTGCTATTATATTGCCGTATCTGTAACAATTATACACACACACACACACACACACACACACACAGAGCTACAGCATGGAATAAGACTAGCCGCTACAGGGACTTCTCACCGGCACTGTAGAGTCAAAATAGGTCGGTGTGTGTTCTTCAGTCCTCTGGGTGAACCTCCACACGTCAGAAACGAATATTCTTTTATTTAACAACGGGTAAACGTGACGTTAGATACCCGATGTGGACCTCAATACCACACGAGTCCTATAACATATGCCACTACAGTCCCAATATACCAGGGGACGCCTTTATCATATGCCACTACAGTACCAATATACCAGGGGACGCCTCATATACCACACCACTATACCAGGGGACAGCCTTTATCATATATACCACTACAGTCCCAATATACCAGGGGACGCCTTTATCATATACCACTACAGTCCAATATACCAGGGGACGCCTTTATCATATACCACTACAGTCCCAATATACCAGGGGACGCCTTTATCATATACCACTACAGTCCCAATATACCAGGGGACGCCTTTATCATATACCACTACAGTCCCAATATACCAGGGGACGCCTTTATCATTTACATCCCAATATACCAGGACGCTTCATTATAGAGTCCCAATATACCAGGGGACGCCTTTATCATATACCACTACAGTCCCAATATACCAGGGGACGCCTTTATCATATACCACTACAGTCCCAATATACCAGGGGACGCCTTTATCATATACCACTACAGTACTTGCTGACAGATATATATGTACCTACTGACAAATTCTAACATCTGCTAACGCTAACGAACACCCAGTTGCTGACACACATTAACACCTGCTGACACTAACAAGAGCCAATAGCTTTACGTGGCCCACTGCAATAAACTCATAAACCTCGGCAGCAAATATTACACGTGGGCGATAAATTCACCATGAAGCCTAAAACAGAATTTCCAGCGGCAGAATAAAAGATGTTACGAGGATGACAAGTGAGAGAGAGAGAGAGAGAGAGAGAGAGAGAGAGAGAGAGAGAGGAGAGAGAGAGAGAGAGAGAGAGAGGTCTGTGTCTGGCTGCTGTCATTCTTGCTCTTGGGAATAATTAGTCGAGAGTCCATTGTTGTGTGATGTGGATAAACACACACACACACACACACACACACACACACACACACACACATAGATAGCAATGGAGAGATACAGACAGACAAACAAACAGATGATGTAGCCTGACTTGTCCGTCATTCAAGAAATCAAACCATGTAAAGTGAGGGAACATTCGTGTAAAGTGAGGGAACATTCGTGTAAAGTGAGGGAACATTCGTGTAAAGTGATGGAAATAAAGGAGGAACCGTGTAAAGTGAGGGAATATCCGTGTAAAGTGAGGGAAATCGTGTAAAGTGAGGGAACATTCGTGTAAAGTGAGGGAACATTCGTGTAAAGTGAGGGAACATTCGTGTAAAGTGAGGGAACATTCGTGTAAAGTGAGGGAACATTCGTGTAAAGTGAGGGAACATCCGTGTAAAGTGAGGGAACATTCGTGTAAAGTGAGGGAATATCCGTGTAAAGTGAGGGAATATCCGTGTAAAGTGAGGGAATATCCGTGTAAAGTGAGGGAACATTCGTGTAAAGTGAGGGAATATCCGTGTAAAGTGAGGGAACATTCGTGTAAAGTGAGGGAAGACGACCTATAACAGCACTTTACTCACTCAAGGAACATTAGGTAAATTTTAAAACCTTTTGTAAGTTGTGCCAGACAGAGGCATTACAGGAGACCATAACTTAAAGCATGTATGTATGTATGTGTATATGAATGTGTACATGAATGTGTATGTATGTGTATATATGCCTGCATATAGGTATATATGTATGTATATGTATGTATATTATATAAATCACATGCAATAAACAGACCCATTACTTAAAGGATATATGTATAGTTGTGTGTATATATGTATAGTTGTGTGTATATATGTATAGTTGTGTGTATATATGTATAGTTGTGTGTATATATGTATAGTTGTGTGTATATATGTATAGTTGTGTGTATATATAAATCAGAGGGACAGGATTTTTCTCTTGTGGTGCATGAGGTCGTGAGAGCAGGAAGCGAGTCGAGAGTGAATCATCTGTGAGGAGGTTGTGAGCACTAATGAATGCAAAAAGGCTTCTTCAACGTGGAATTCAAATGCTGTACCGTGAAAGTTTAAGGCTTTATAGTGAAGTCAAATGTCACTTCATAAAATCACTGGGATAGTTTTAGGGTTAGGTTAGGTTTGGGATGGGGTGGGTTGGGATGTGTTAAGTTAGAGGTAAATTAAGTTAAGCCAAGTACCTTACCACCTTACCGTATTCTCTCCGACGTTGTTAGCGAGGCAGTGGAGGACGGCCGTAGCTCCCACCTGCGTCCGTAGTTCCGTGTTGTTCTGCTGTGAGAATACGGCCGAGGAGAGTGAGGAAGCGGCCGTAGGAGAAACCGGCACGGAGCCCTCAGTTACGGTCGCTGTCAGGGGGGTGGTGGTAGTGGTGGTGGTGGTGGTGGGTAGTAGACTTGGGAACACTGTGGGAGAGAGTGAGTGGTCAGAGAGAGAGAGAGAGAGAGAGATTGTTTCGACTACTACCAACATCAATAATAATAATAATAATAATAATAATAATAACAACAACATTGACATCAGCTGACAACACAAACCAAACAGCTGCTGACAACACACACGGAGTACAGTGATGGGTCATTGTGTTTCATCCTCTCAATAGAGTTAACTTGACTTGACAGGAACTTTGTGTTATCAGGTCAAGTTGGGGCCAAAAAGTCGAACCAAGGAGGAAGTTGGAGTTTTATTCCTGTCACTCAGCGGTCGAGGAAGACGTGATCAACGTTTAGATACGAGTCTTTAGAAATACTTACAAGTCGTAGGCTGAGACGGAGCGTGGGAAAATTTTGCTGATCGTGGTAAAATTTTTAGGTTAGGTTAGGTTAAGTTAGGTAGGTTAGGTTAAGTTTAGTAAGGCTAGGGTAATGTTAGGGTGGTCAATCTTAAGATACAATACACTGGGGGTCTAATCTTCAGGTGATATAACTAATTTCCTCAGTTAATTATTCATAAGCGAATAAACTGAATAATATTACCATCTATAAATTTATTCAATGTGGATGAATGATCAAATATTCACTATAATTCGTGTTTTTTTTCTCTCACGAAATTTATGTTAAAAAAAAGATTACCTTCCTGACACATGATTATTTCCTGCAATAATTGATACTACGTTTGCAATATTCCATGCAATTAAACTTTCACACTCAGTTGATTAAAAAAAGTCATTTTCGATGGAGAATTTGGATGTTATTTACACAAGATTAAATACATGAAGCCATACAGTAGAGGTGCAGTGGCGTGAGTCATGTTAAAACAGATTAAAGAAGCCGGGACCACCTGAAGTTTAACCCCACCAGTTCATATTAACTTTTAAATTAACCTACCCAAATGTTAACCTATAATAACCTAACCTAACCTAACCTTACCTTACGCTAGACCAGGGGTCACCAGACTTTTTTCACAGTGGGCCGGATAACTGAAAGAATGACGAGCGCGGGCCGCATAATCATTCTGTTTAATACTTGCAAGCCAGAACGAAAGCCATGGAAACCATGGTAACGTCAGAGCGTAGGCGGAGCTACCAAGGCGGGCCTGATGAACTGACGTCGCGGGCCGGATCCGGCCCGCGGGCCGTAGTTTGGTGACCCCTGCGCTAGACTAACCTAACCTAATCTGATACTAAATTAAGATAATATAACCTATTACTACTACTACTACTACTACTACTGCTGCTACTACTACTACTACTACTACTACTACTACTACTAATAATAATAATAATAATAATAATAATAATAATGGCGCGTGTTAATAAAAATCATTGTGTTTTTATCAACATTAATGAAATATAAGCAATATGTCTTCCCTAGAGTAATATATCCACCCCACAGCTTCCAATATCAACCATTAGGGGTAAAATATTCGTCCAATATGGCAGGGTCAGGTTGAGTGATGGCTGGGGGGGGGGGATAAACTCCTCTTATATAGTTACCCATATAAGCCACTCCGTTTTCTATCTTATCCTGAGAGATGATTGGTTGTTGAGTCTCGCTTCTTGATGCTCATTGGATAACGGTATACGAGTATCTTGGCGCTGAGTGGATGATGGTATAAACATCTTGATTGTGATTGGATGATGGGGCCTACGTACCTTGACGATGAGTGGACGAAAAGCATAAGGAATTGGAAGCTGATTGGAGGAAATCCACTTTAGCTTAGACAGGAGGAAAGCTAACATGGGAATCATAATGATAGCTTAATATAGCTTAACCTAGCAAGGATTATCGGATATATAAGCCAAGAGCTATACCATAAAGCCATGAGCTATACCATAAAGCCATGAGCTATACCATAAAGCCATGAGCTATACCATAAAGCCAGGAGCTATACCATAAAGCCAGGAGCTATACCATAAAGCCATGAGCTATACCATAAAGCCATGAGCTATACCATAAAGCCAGGAGCTATACCAGTACTGTATATACCATAATAAAATAGGAGCTTGGGAGTGCCATAGAGCTGCCATAGCCATGAGCTGCCATAAAACTAGGGAGGAGCTATACCATAAAAGCTATGCATGGAGCTATACCATAAAACCATAAAGCCAGGAGCTACCATAAAGCCAGGAGCTATACCATAAAACCAGAACTATGAGCCATATACACATAAAAGCCGGAGCTATACCATAAAATATAGCAGGAGCTATGCCATAAAAGAACTATACCATAAAGCCCATAAAACCATGGCTATACCATAAAACAGAACTATACTATAATAGACTATATAAAACCAAGGATATATACTGCATAAAGCCAGGAGCTATACCAGAATAATAAGCAGGACTATACCATAAGAGCAGGAGCAATACCATAAAGCCATGAGCTATGCCACCATATACCAAGCCAGGACTATACCACAAAAATATGTGACTATGCCATAAAATATGAGCTATACCATAAAGCCAGGAGCTGACCAATTGCCATATATACCATTATACCATAAAGCCAGGGCTATAAGCACTATACCATAAAACCTATGCCATAAACAATGGAGACTCCACCACCACTATGCCTTTATACCATAAATATAGCTATACCATAAACATAACTGCCATAAAGCCAGAGCTACCCTGAGAATTTGACTATATCACAAGTGTGTCAAACATGAGCCGTCAGCCAACCTAAATTATAAACAGCACAGCACACACACACACACACACACACACACACACACACACACACACACACACACACAGACAAGGTCGCCATAAATATCCCGGTTCTGCAAATTACAAGTTGAAAATTACCTTTTGAGTTGCTGGAGGCGTCACCCTCCACCCCCAAGACGCTCACCTAACTCTTCCTTATCGCTACAACTTACGACTTTGGCGATAATTATGATGGAGAAGTGATTTACTGTGTATATTTACGACATTTTAATTCCGGTTTATGTGTACTATGACATTGATGTGTACGTGTGTAGAGATATGTGTACGTTTATTGCTTGTGTATGTGTGTATATGTGTTTATGTATATGTAAGTATATGTGTGTGTGTGTACGTATTTGTGTGTATTTACGTATATGTATGTGTAGTGTGTGTGTGTGTATGTGTGTGTGAATGGATGGGGGAGGAGTGGGAGGGAGGTGCAGGGGGCAGGGGGGTGCAGGGGGCAGGGAGGTGCAGAGGTGCAGGAGGGGCAGGGGCTGGGAGGTGCAGGGAGCTGGGGTGCAAGGGGCAGGGAGTGCAGGGGGCAGGGAGGTGCAAGGGGCAGGGAGGTGCAGGGGGCTGGGGGTGCAAGGGGCAGGGAGGTGCAGTGGGCAGGGAGGTGCAGGGGGCAGGGAGGTGCAGGGGCAGGGGGAGGTGCAGGGGCAGGGAGGTGCAGGGGGCAGGCAGGGGCAGGGGTGGTGCAGTGGGCAGGGGTTGCAGGGCAGGGGAGGGGAGGCAGGGAGGTTGCAGGGGGCAGGGTGGTGCAGTGGGCAGGGAGGTGCAGGGGGGCAGGCAGGGCGGGCAGGGAGGTGCAGGGCAGGGAGGTGCAGTGGGCAGGGAGGTGCAGGGGGCTGACCTACACAGGGTGTTACACCACTATGCTTCAGGATGTGTTACCCCGGGGGAGGAGAGTCATGGAATACCTCACTATGTTTAGCTCTCGTGTTGTTGTTGTCTGGTGGGGGGGAGGAGGGGAGGGGGCGTTGGGGTGGTGGTGGGGATGTTGGGGGTGTTGGTGTTGGTAAATTGAATTTTCCCTCTTCCATCTTCTTTCCTCTTCCTCTTCCTCCTCCTCCTCCCCCACCTTCTCTTTCCCTCTCCATCCTCCCACTCCCCTCTACCCCATCCCTCCTCCCACTTCCTGCCCCCCCCCCACACTTCCCCTCCTACTCCATCATCTCCTCCTCCTAACCTTCAGACTTCTCAATACCACAAAAGGTTAGTGCTAATAATTAGGTCGAGGAGGACTGTGTTTCGGTGGAGTGTGTGTGTGTGTGTGTGTCAGTCCTCGAGGGAGAGAGAGGGATCGAATTCATCCTCCTCGTGTCGTGAGTCTTAGCCCTCAAGTAACATCTCGAAGATCATTAATGGAGGGTGAAGGAAGGCCACTTAGAAGGAGGAGCTTGGTAGGTGAGTCTTGTCTCTCGTGGAGGATTACGTTTTCGAGTAATAGCTTGAGGCCTCAGAAGCCATCATCAAGGGAGGAGATACGAGTGCTACTTGAAGGTGTTACGTTATGTGAGTGTTAATTGCTTAGAACTCGTACTTCAACACTAAACCTCGTCCTTGAACACTAAACCTCGTCCTTGTACTCTAAGCCTTGTGAAAGAGACTGAAGTTGTAGTTACGTGATCTTCAAAACCTAACCTAACCATTAGAGCCCTAAATGAGATACTGGGGACACACACACACACACACACACACACACACACACACACACACACACACACACACACGTCACGATGGAGGAAAACGACCTTGTCATTTAATAATAAGAATGCTGAGTCATCATGAGTCTCACTTTATTCATCTGGCTCTGTCCCTATATCCGCCTGACACTGTAGCCTCACCATCGCTCTACCTATCCGCCTGACACTGTAGCCTCACCATCGCTCTACCTATCCGCCTGACACTGTAGTCTCACCATCGCTCTACCTATCCACCTGACACTGTAGTCTCACCATCGCTCTACCTATCCACCTGACACTGTAGTCTCATCATCGCTCTACCTATCCACCTGACACTGTAGTCTCACCATCGCTCTACCTATCCACCTGACACTGTAGTCTCACCATCGCTCTACCTATCCACCTGACACTGTAGTCTCACCATCGCTCTACCTATCCACCTGACACTGTAGTCTCACCATCGCTCTACCTATCCGCCTGACACTGTAGTCTCCTCATTACCTATCCACCTGGGACTGTCCCTCGATCCATTTTGCATTGTCCTTATATCCATTTGGCACTGTAAATA